TGTGTGTGTGTGTGTGTGTGTGTGTGAGACTGTGTGTGACTGTGCGTGCATGCACGAGGGCGTCTGTCCACCTTTCCCTTAAAGACGAACCACCAGGGAATCAGTCAACGGACCTTGAAGTGACAAAGGCATGGTCTTTGATGGCCTGCACGACATCATCAAACTTGATCTTGGTGGTCCGTGTCCAGCCGTGGTAGATGATGGGCTTCCCGTCGGGCCCGTCCCAGCAGTCCACTGAGGGAAGAAACGTGTAGTCTCAACACCCGGCTGTCTCTCCCCACCTCAAGAGTCCACTGAAGGCAGCCACACTGGGCGGGGGGGCAGCTGCAAGCTCGGCCCCGGCCCCCCACCATGGCTCAGTCACTAGGACATGGGGGCCACACCCAGTAATTCCCCTCAGGGGCCGGCAACACGAGGACCCCTGTTATCTGTGTACATGCATTACTCATGCAGTTACGGGAAGACTCTGGTTGCTTAATTAAAGGTCCCCAATACATTTGTCCCAAAGAAACTAATTTCAATGTTTCCTTTTTTTTTTTTTTTAAGAGATTTATAATGTGGGATTTTTTCTGATTTCACTTGGCTTGCTTTTTCTGCTAATGGAAATAAGAGCAATGAGACATTTACTTTTTTAAAGTTCACAGGAAAATATTCAAACAGAACTAGATTATGTAGAAGGTGAACATCCCCTCTATTTTCAACCCCCAGAGGTAAGAGGAGCGGACCGTTTCAAACTTGATTTTTTCACATCTGCTTTTTTCTGGGGTGGGGGGCATACACCAGGCAAACGTCTACAGGAATCAGTGCCACTCGAGTCTGATGCTCTGATGAATGTGCTTGATAAAACTGGAACTTCCATCAGTGCTCTGTGCCCTTTCTCAGCCCAGTACACCCGCCCGCCTTTGGTGGCACGGTCAGGCCGGGAGGAAGCAGTGGGCTCCTGAGCACGTCCAGGGGCCTTGATCGTCTGTGCTGGGGTGACCATGAGCAACTATGAAAAGCAGCTGGGCCAGATGCTAAAACATAGAGGGCTCCTGCCTTCCTCAAATAACAGCCTGGAGGGAAGCTGAAGGAGAAAAGAGCGTAACAAAGCCATCTTTGGTACTGGACTCCCAGCCCAGCCACTACATCAGGACATTCTCTAGATGCCCCAAACCACTGCCCCAGGGTTTCTTTTTTTTTTTTATGTTATGTTAATCACCATACATTACATCATTAGTTT